ATTAAAAAAAATATTTAATTAGTAATTTATTATAATTAATAACACTTTCTACATAAAATGTCTCTTTTGACTATAATCAGAGGTCAAAGTAATGTTATATCTTTCCGCCCTATACTTTAATAATGAAAATCACAGAGTAGAGTTCTAAACATACAATAGCTAACTGTACGTTTTACGCTAACTATATACATATTGATGTACTCTAAATATAGATATTTGTCTCTTTTCAGTAATGTTTTGCTATTGTTTACTAGTTGATAGTAAATAGGATATATACTATCTAATTAATGATAAATTAGAAATAGTCAACTCTAATCGAACACTCTATAATTTATTTAATAATTCTTCTGAATTTCGAACTTTAACTTGTTTTTTGTATAATATTAATTACTATATACTATTACATTCCGGCGTTGATTAGGTTTTTGAAAATTCTGATTAAGGTGTGTACTTATCTGAATCTTAAAGAGTTCACTTGATAATATTTATAAGACAGAATAATATAATATTCCATATTAAAATCTGAAACTCAAAATAAATAAATCTCAATTAGAAAAACGAAATATAAAGTGACTGTCTTGTTTACTTATATTAACTTATACAATATTTATACATATATATATATATATATATATATTTTTATATATATATATATATATTTAACATTTCAGTACTGTAAACTTAAACAAAATTAAAAAATTAGAAATATTTCTTGATTTATATGATAATAACGAAAAATTATTTGGGGTTAAAATATAAGAAAATAATGTCTCTTACTATATATATAACTGATTTATCGTACATAAAAAATTAATTTCATGTACTTTTAAAAAACTTTTTAAATAAAGTTTTATAATATATTATTTAAATGCAGGATAAAATAAATGTTTAGACTAAAAAACTAAAAACAAAATAAAATGTTTAATAACATACAATTATTATTTTTTGAATTAAAAAAAAAAAAAATATTTAAAAGAACATAAGGTCTATCTTCTATATTATATATAACAATTAATATATTTGAATTGATGTACGTAAATATATTGCAAAGAAAAAGCTAGCAAAATTTAAAAACAATTTAATTGGCAAAAAAACAAAAAATTAATAAAAAATAAATAAATAATTAATAAAGACTTTATTTGTAAAGACATCTAATTTGTTCTAAAATTTTTTAAATAAATTATTATTTATAGAAACATTTTTCAAACTGTTCTCTCAGCTTGAAACCTATAATAAAATGAAGGTAAGGTTAGGTTTTAATGGGGCGAGTTTGACAGCATGGGACTCTTATTTTAAGATGTAGCCCTATGTATGGTTTAGTCTTCTGTTAAGTTTCTATAATATGTGAATTTCTGATACAGGAGCACAGTACAGTCTATTGTGATAAAAGTAAACAATGTCATATCAGATCACAAATAGTGCTATATTATAGCATGTACATACGTGCAGTTATAAAGCAAAAAAAAAATATTTAAGCCGGTAAATTCCATATACCAGATTTCATGAAGACGTTTCCCCATCCTAATAAATTTCTAAATTATTGTTCTAGAGATTTCCTATGATAAGTGTATTCTTGACACAAGAAGCCAACTTCATAACTTTAAGCAATTTATTTCTTTTAAAAATTCTGTGAGAATTCCAACATCAGTTTCCGTTAATTTTCCATATACCGTCAAAATAGATTCTTCAAGAATTGGAGTAATGCTCTTTGCCAATACTGAACATCTACATAATAAATGAAAGCTTAATAATTTGTCATATTCTTCTTAGCAGAGTCCCCCTCCTCCCCTTTCGATGAGCGGAGCTCTGAAGCTCATATGAAACCGTTTTACATCCCATATGTGGCTCTCATGTCCTTAGTTTACCGCTAGCCAAATACCCTACATATCGATATAATCCCACCCCTTCACTTAGTCCCAATCTACCTACGCTACGTCTCTGCTTTCTGGCTTAAATAAACCTACTCCACTAGCTATTCAGCCTCTTCCTCATATCTCTCTTTCCTGATTACTGGAATGAAGTTGCCACATTGCTGTGAAAACCTTCGCCATTCATTGTTAAAAGATGGTTTTAGTGGGTTTAAGTCCAACACTGTGACTTTTGATTCTTTATACTTCTCCCAATTTCTAGAACGTTTAGGCGTTACTTAGTAAACTGGGTTGACATGCGTCTTATCTCACATAAGGTAATACCTAATATATATTTGTGGCATATTGCCCGGATATAGCATATAGGTACTGTAAAAAAAATAACTTACTTAATAATAATAAAAAATACTTACGAGGTAAATATAAATTTTTGAAGCAATTCATTCGTTCAGCTTAAGTGGTGATTATAGTAAACTTTTTAAGAATTATATTTATTTTATTAATTATTATAAAAAATTATAGATTTCAAAAAATCTATTTATATACAAATATAAAGAACAACTTTTTATATGCAATTATATTTGCCTAAAAACTAGCTAAAGCAGAGTTACCAAATACTTATGGAGTAAAAGTTCTCTCATTCCTCTTAACTGTACTATGTTTCAAGTTCCCAATTTTCATTTTAATAGATATTTTTTCTTAACAGAGCAGAATTACCGATTTCACCAGTAATCGCTAACAGAGTTTTCACTGTATATAGAAAATGTAAGAATAATTTACTTTAATAATAATATTTAGGTATGTCGAACCAGCCAGCTGGACAAAATGACGGTTTGCGGAACTACTTAATTTGAGAAACATATATGAAAAGACAATCACTGATCCACACATAAACGGCTTGACCTGGCAACGTTGCAAGTCTAAGTATTTTTTATTCAGGTATAGAAAGTTCCTTTAGACGAAAAATTTTGTTAACCTGATAGAATTGTGGGTTCTGTCTGGTGAGGTCAGGAATGATATTACTTTGTTTTTATACAATATTTATATCTGCACTTTTTATTAAGCAAATACCAATATTCCTTTAATAGTTCAAAATAGTAAGGTTTGGTGTTACCTTTTTATCGAACCATATGTTTTTTCGTCCCTTTTAGAAATACCATTTAAATTTAGATACTGTTTTTTCTTTAAAAAAAAAATAATAAAATATATATGTTATATATATAACATATATACATTATTTAATTCCGCCACTATTCAGAACCCTACCATATGGTGGAACAAAATAAATTTATCTAGAACAATCTAGTGTTCATAACTTACTCTATGGGATTAAAGATATAAAAACCATGCTAGACACAAACTAAACAATAGGGTTACAAATATTGCGGCCCTTGCTGATACAGTATGAAGTCTTTAACTTTGATAGAAGCGCAGAAATATCATATATAGGATGTCAACCAAAAGTAATCACAACCAACTTCTCTTGTACCACAGATTTAAATGATGCCACAGTTCTATGCATCGATCCCTTTCTTCGCATGAAAGATACATAAACACCTATTGCAAGGCAGATAACATCAGTCAGATCGAATACCAGCAAAGATTGTCAGCCCTCCATACCGGTACAGTGGTCCATAGAGTTGCAACCCTACACAATACTCAACAGTCCTCAATTTGATATCTCTTTGAAAGAAAATCATTATCCATATACAACAAGAGCTATCCTGACCTAACAACGCTCCAGATATAACTAAGTGCTAAATGGTTACTTATCACAACTAAACACAGCCATTCCCAATGTGTGCTTTACTTACAGCTATACTCCTCATGATGTCACTCATCTATTAACTTGTATCAACATACCAATTCCATTTCAGCTCTATTGGTTAATGTTTGTCTCATTAAACTTACAAAAGCATCTTCACATGGACTCAGTCTAGAATATCAGTATAGAATATCTTTCCCGCGCATTCCCCTCCCAATCTCTTGTGTATGTTTTGTCATACTTATATGGACTTGCTCTCCCAATTTCTGTGAGCCACAACAATTAGCAAATATGATCACAGCCATATCCAGAACACCATATAAATAACGCCAATACTACAATAAATACCGATACACAAACTATTATATTATCTAAATTCGACAGTTTGGATTTCGTCTATATTCTACTTAAGGGTTCTTGCGAAGAACGTGGTGGCAATACGGCGAAACATCACTACATGGAAAGTTATCTGACGGCCTACAACTGCAACCAACCCATCAATATTGTCTGTTAATGTTAAAACCTTATGGTTGCTATACGTATTAGATGCTATACGTGTGCTTACTGCAATATTAATGGTGCACTCTAACGGAAAGACTCTTATACAACCCGACAATTAGACTGCGTAGAAGTTGCTATGATCACGACGTGGTATCCATTTAGTTACTTTCTATGTTATTGCCCATGACTACTCTTAACTCTAACCCCAACTCATTCAGTCCCCTATTCACGTATTCGTATTGTAATCCTTACATGTTATCTGCTGTTCAGATCCCGGTGGGCTACAACAACTACCAGCATAGGAAGTCGATCGTTCCCGTACCGGCCTTGCAGAGATAGTAAAGGTAGATTCATTAGATCTTAAAGACCAGATGGCTTAATCTTGAAGACCAGTTGGTTTAACAAAAGATAACATACGCAGATTTAATCTTATCAACGGTTAGGGTAGCTTGTCTCTCCTTGGCAGCTTGAGAGCATCATCACGTACAATAACTGTCACCCAATGGAAGTGATGATACACGCTCGTTCAACATAACCTCGCCCCTTCGAACAGGTGATCTTCAACTTTTTAAAAGTTTTCAAATCTTTATAATATACATTTTTATACTAAAAACAAAAATAAAATTAAGAACGTATTATGCTTTCTATATTCATAGAGTAAAAAATCCTTGCGAACTTGCAAAATTCTAAAGAATGTAGAAGAATGTTCTCTTTTATGGCCGGCACTGTAGTTGCTATGCAATTCTTGCAAGCAATCACATGCATATGACGCAGCACACTTTTAGGCATTTTGCATTAAAACTATTGTTGCTTTTTTAACAAATTATAGTCGTAGTGGGGATGGACACAATTTAAATACTTCAATATTTGATTTTTGTTTGAACTTGTTATGTATTTGTTTTGCTCTTTTTTTACTATGAAAGTTCAATACAGTAAATAGTATTGTTTAGCTTATTTTTTAGATTTGATTTTCTTAAGGTAGAATTCCAATTCTTTACCCTCCAAGATATAACCATCAGCACGACCACATTGACCGGGGCGGGATGAGATGCAGGCTGCACATATAAAAGAAAAAAAATAAATTAGAAATAAATATTGAGAATATATAAATAAGGCATGAGTCCATAATTTTAAAATATTATTTGTATGCAATAAAATCAGAGTAACTATGACAAGCTATCATATCCAACAGGCATACGCTTCGCTCAAAATAAGTTCCGCGCATTAAATTTGTTGGTCGCTTTATGTTTTAACATCATTTTTAGCTCAAGCACAACACTAACACAAATAATATTAAAATTATTTACACCATGTAGACACGTGAACATACCTAAGATACGACCAGAAATGAATTGATCTTCCAAAGCCTGTTCAACCTTAGCGAACTTTTGGCGTTCCAAATACTTCTTCATAACTTTGTCACTACGTTTCTTGTTTAAAACGTCATTTTCATCTTCTTTTTGTTGATGTTTGGGATTACGTTTGCGTCCCAATGGCAGGACATAGTGGGATTCATACCATTGACGGAATGGTGTGGCATCAATTACAACAATTGAGTTCTTCACCAAAGTTTTGGTACGTACCAATTCGTTATTGGAGGCATTGTATACAACATCGGCCACACGTGTCTTGCGTGTGATACCTTCAGAGGCCCAAGCAAAATTGCCAGTGTCTAGACGAAGTGCACGATGTTTAATGTTTCCACCGCGTGTGCGTACTTTGTGTATACGTGATGCACCAAGCTGAAAGTAATTAAATATTATTAATATGATACGCTTTGGATCTATTTAAAGTATATAAATGTTTACGGTTTTTTATTAAATTTATAAAATTGAAATAGACTTTAATGATGGGCAATTGTATTAAATTAAAACACTGTGTAAAGTGTGTAATATGTAACATTTTTTTTATTTAAGATTCTCCAACTTTCAGAGTTTTTTAGATTCTGAAAGTAAGAGTTATATGATTCGGCATTATTAAATAAAAAAAAATATTAAAAATCACATACTTTGTGTTTTAATTTAGTATACTTATTCACTGAACTTTACACCTCAATTTTATAAATACAAAAATGTTTTAATATATTTGATCAGTATTCCATACATATCCATTCATCACATTGATTCCACAAGGAAATCAATTAAGTTGACACGCTTTATCATCATATCATCGACAGTGAGCAACAGCTGTTTGAAAAGCAGTGACCACAAATGGTTTTTAATAGTTTTGTTAAGCCTGCGAATGCCATAGATTGCAGTTGTCTGGCGTTAACCAAAACCATTTGCTGTCTTCAAAACAACCGCGACTACCGCAACAAATACTTGCAATGTTGACATAGCACGAACGTTCCTAGTTTTTTACTTACTTTGGTGTTTGCAGCTGGGCGTCCCAACTCGAACTTACGCTTCTTGCGTAGGGATTTGCGTTTACCACCAGTGGCACGGCGCTTATGAGCACTATCACGACTAATACCTGTAACAAAACAATATGTCTTCTAGGTTAATTCCGTCAAAAAAAAAAAAAACAAACAAAACAATCTCTAGTTTTCAGTAAGCACTCATTTTTCAAGAAAATCTATCCATTAATTATACTTATACAGTTTTTATGAATTGTTTTTAAAGTTAGTTTTGTGTCTTTGCAAACACCGCCAAACAAACTTTTACATTTTTCTCTTTCAAAAATTTGCAATTATTACAGCACCCAACACAAAAATATATATTTTCACTTAAACTTTATAAAAGTTAACAAATTATTTCACATAGTTTTACATAAATTTCTTGTTATTATTAACGATGTTTAAAGATTTTCTTGAAAATATTCCAGCGCTTACAGAAAACCGCACTCACCCATCTTGAGTATGAACAGAGAAGGAAAGGAAGCAAAGAAGGCACCGAATGACTGACATTTGTTTTTAGCCAAAAATGTGGTGAAAAATTTGACATTGTCAATACTTCAGAGCAATTTGACAGCTAATGTGATGTTAGTGATGTATATTATGGACATTTTGGTAACCAAAATATGTATTCGTAAGTATAAACATGAGTTATGCAAATTTCTTGAATATATAATTGTTTTTTACAAAACATAACCATTTTTAATAAGTTTATCATAAGTAAGAATATACTTTATGTGTAAAAAGTATTTCAATTTACTTAGTATTAATGTTTGTAACTAAAGTGGGTTTTGTTTTGTTTTTTTTTTTTTTTTGAAAAATTTTATTCTTTTATTTATGACCAAAAATATTATATAATAATTTATTAGCGGGCTATTTGGTCATTTAAATAGAAATAAAAACTCTATAATTTATTATTTCTATTAATATTATTTATAAAAACAATTTATATTTTAATAAATAAATTAAAAAATAAATATAAACACATAATATATAAACAAATAAATAAATTTGATTTTAATGTTATATAAATTGTTTTTAAATATAAATAATAAATTATAGTTTTTTTACTTCTATTTAAATGACCCGCTAATAAATTTTCTTTTTTTTAAAATATTAACTTTTATTTAGAACGTTAATTTTTAGTATATTTCTGTAAGTCCCTTAATCAGGGAAATTATTAATATTAAAAACATCTATGCAATTTAATTTATTTATATTTATATTTTATATTTAATCTTAATTAGTAAGGTGTTTGGTTTCTAACTAGTTTATGTCTGTCTGATAACAGTTTTATCATACATGAGTTATACAAAACCAAATCTTATAGGTTATTTTGCAGTTAACTTGCTATATATTTTTATATTGTCTCGCCGATATAATTACCAGTTTGGTCATGTGATATTCGTTTTTTTTCAATATTTCCGTTTTCCTTATTTGTTTGTATTATTTATATTATATTTATATTATTTACATTTTCATAAAAGCCTTTAAAAAAAATATTTTTAATCCAACTAACTATTTTTTTGTATGAAGCAATAACATTTTATTTAAAAATCAATTTGTTAGTTTCAATCTAAATTATGATAATGCATTTCTTTTATTATGGATATTTATTACTTATACATACATTATACAAAATAGAGAAAACTAGAGCACTCATTTACTATTTGGAAGTGAAAAAACTATACAAAAAATGAAAAATCTTGTTGTTATTGAAAATTAAATAATCACCTATAAGAATTTATAATATTTAAAAACAAAATTTCTTAAAAAAGTTTTTTATATCAAAAAGTTTAGTTTGAATTAAAAACTATATATAACAATCGTAAAGTTTCTCTTAAATATTTCACCGAAAATAAAAACTAAATTGAAATCAGTTTTATTTAAAATATAATATCATTAATATTTTTTCGTACAAATAGAGAAAGAATATATCTGAATAGCTTTGTCTTTAAAATTATTTTATTCAAAATATGCATCATTCTACAAATGTGATCCCTTTTAACAATTTTTAAAATCGATTTAAGCACTCACCTTAAAAAGAATTTTACATTAAAACGTTTTAGCTCACTAAAACCAGTTCAATATAAATTTTGATTTTTTGTTCGACTTGTCCGATTCACTTCGTGACGAACCGATTTTATACTAAAATCCTTCAATCAAAATTACAACTGAATAACAATTTGTACAAAATCAAGTTCAAATTAAAATCATAGTTCTTAATAGTTTAATTGTGCTGTGATATTATGAATTACTCTCATAAGCTAAAGCAAAACAAATTGAAATTTATTTTAACGTTCAGCATTTTTATTTAACAGCACAACTACAAAACTAAAAGGCACTATAATTATGTTTTACACCAGCAAATCTGACAAGTAATATATAGAATAAAGTAAGTTTTTACTTTTTTCAACAGTTTTTGCATTTCTGCATTTTCTGTTTCTTAAACAGATTTAACAATACAATTAACAGCCTTACAAAAAACAGTACTAAAACCAAAACAATGATTTGCAAATAAAAGTACAATTAGGATTTTATACTTTTGACTAAAAGTTCTAAATATACTTTGTTAATAATAAAATAATTGCCAATATTTCGCAATTAATTAATTTTACATACCTTTTTAGAAAATAATGTATATCAACATTATTTAATTAATTTTAAGTAATTATCTGACACATTCATAATATGCTAAACTAGTATTTTCGAAAAACTTGTAATCTTGAGTAGAGAACTATAAACCACTTTAATCAAAATATAAGGAAGGTATTGAGACCATGCTTGGTATTCGGTAAAGTTATCATATAATAGATATCTGAATGCATTTTCTAAGTTCCTTTTTGGTTAAAGTATGAGTTAAAGTTAGTTAAAAGTTAAAGTTAGAAAAAGTAAAATAAATTTAACTGAAATTAAAGAAAAATATAATTAAAGCGATATTTCTTTATATATTTATTTTTCTTCAGATATTATTTCTTTCAATATTTTTAAATTTCAAACTCAGTTCAAAGTGTTGTCACAAGAATCAGCTGTTGTTATATTGAATACCAAATAGACTATCAACGCTAATGCCCCGGTAACTCGGTAACTAAACAATATGATAATTTCATTGCCGACTTCAACTGATTTTCCTTATTGAATGGCGCTAATAAAGAAATATAAAGAGACGGACGGACAGACGGATATTTTGCAATTATAAAATTATTTTAAAATATAGTTCTTAAATAAACTTATATTAATTATATTTGCAATACATTTCACGTCGTGTTTTAAAACCTTTATTCTGATTCTGATATATATTTGCAACGACAAGCTCGATGTATGCAAATGGTTACTTCATTTGTAAAGTTATTAATATCTTTAATGTATCTGTGCCAACATATAATGCGATTTATTTAATAAAATGCAATTTATTTTATTTAAGTTTATTATATTTATTTGTTTTTATGTGTAGAATTATAAAAAGTATTATAAAATAATCTAAATCAAAAAAGTATAGGCAATAATAAATCAATTATTGGTTGATGTTGCATCTCACCACGAATTATAATTTACTCACCACACACACGAAATGAGTAGTTGTTGCAAAATGATCACATGAGAAATAATTTGGGCTGAATACCATAGCAACATTTAGCATGTGGTACGATTTTATTTAAGGAGTACAAAACTAATTTTAAAAAATATAATTACTTACTAATAATTACGAAAGTTGTTATTTTATAAAAATTAACTATTATATTTGATTATTTTCTGTTATTTTATATGACTAAAAAATCATGTTATGTCAAAACAATACCAGAGTTGTTACTTCTGTTGTTTAGAAACTACGTCTTAATTATAATCTATATCATTCTAATAAAATTATAAATCATAATTTTATTTATAATTTTAATAAACTAATAATTATTATGCTTTTGTTGATATCTTAGTCAATTGCAAATTTAACAAACTGCTTATATTTTAGTTCTATGACTAGAGCGCCATATATACGATAGCATAATTATTTTTAATTCTAATTATATTATAAATATTTTCTAATTATATGATATTTTTAATATTTTATTTATTTCAGTTGTGTGATTTATAATAATTGTTGTGACGTGACTGCAATCATACCATGCCCCTTAAACAAATTGTCATTTATTAATCCAGCAATTTTTACTCCTACTTTTAGGTGAAACTTTATATCATATTAAAATAATTGTTTTATTTAATCATTAATCATTGTTTAACCTGGCATTATAGGAGTCCTGTTATTTTTTCTTTAATTTGAAAATGAGTTTTTATTTTAATTCAGTTTTGGTAATAAAAATTTGATCAAGATATTAATCTTGATTTGTCATAACAACGGATTTTTATAAAGTCAGCTATATTGTAAAACTTTTCCATTAGCGCTACATGTCAATATAGTTTAGTTTTTGAAACGTAGGGCTTTAGAGTTAATAATGTTTAGATAAAAACTACAAACAAGCTATTAACCGTTTAGACTTGTTAATCGTCTTTTGTGCAATCCATGCAAAAATTACCTATACGAATTTGTGTTAGACCTAGTCAACGCAAAATGCTAACATATATATTTAAACCGTGATATCTCGAGAAGTTAGCTATATCGGCATATAGTGTAGTGGAAGAAGTTGGTAAAGATAGCAACTATTTTTGCGTTTTGATGTGGCGATTAGTTGCATTCTAAAAATGTTCATTGTAAAATTAATTATAAAATATCATTCTACATATACGGTATGCGATATGTATTCTATTTGTCAAATTACAGGTCTGTTCCACGAGCTACTCGTAGTAACTTTGAGTAACACTGTGTGTACACAAATGTGTGCCATCAGCAAATTTTCGTATACGTCTAGTAATAATTACAAAATAAATACTAGTATTAATAAATAATCGTATTGGAATTACAACTACACAATAGCATTTTGAACAAACTTTTTACTGATCTTTGGTTATCATATATAAATATTTAAATAATAAAGGTGCAGTAAACTATATTGTTGAATAAAAGTAACAAAAATATTACAATATTGAATTTTATTTATTTTTTTTCAAAAAGTGATTTTCTCATATTTTACCACCTTTAATTTTGATCAGCTATTTTTGCTTGTTCATTAGTTATATCAGTTAGCTTAATGAAAACGGAGAATTATCGGCATAATTTATTTATGATTTCGTATTTTGTTTATACAGCGCAAACACACACGATAAAAAAATTAAAAAAATGACATGTGGTTTTAGAACTTGTGTACGCAGTAACAACGCCATCTAGAGTTATTGGCTGAATATCAGTGGTATATGGACTTTGTTGTTGTTATATGCTTATGTTAATTAATTGGACGAGTTAAATTAAGATTCGTTTAATAAAAATATTGATAAATTCATAATAAATAAATTTAAAATAAACAAATAATTGTAAATCAAAATCTCAAAATATTTATAAAATAAATAAATTTGTAATAATATAATAAAAAGGTCAGATGATTTTGTCGAGTCAGTCATTTTGATAAAAAAAAACTGAAATATCTGCTATAATTTTAGTTTACCACAAGTT